AAATATACATCTATGGAAGAGGTGCGGGGGAGTGCAACCTCATTATGGCACTAAATGCTGCAGGCGTTAACCCCCATCCACCAGTTATTAGTTGAATGTTGCATCACTTTATCATGCATGGATAACATTACATCGTCAAAGATTACAGGAAATGGTACTTATAACGTGGTTCTCCTCTACACATTGCAGCAATAATAATACGAAGCTGATGACAACCGTTTACAAAATGTGGTTTTACAGACCTCCTATAGGGAACATCTCTTAACATGAAACTATAACGCTAAATTGATATCTCCATATTTTCTTCTATTCCGTCCTGCTATATTCAGAATAAAAGAAGGTTAAGACAAAATGTCAAACTGATATCTTACCCCTAGATGAGGAAGCAGGGAACAATATATTTAGTGCACAAATGACTACTGTCATTTCTGCTAAGGATACCATATGGGAAAAGTTTCCATGCCTTTGTGTCAATCATCTAACATTGACACGGGAAACCTCTTTCATATGATCTGGACATGTCCACGCTAACTCTTTTGGTCAGAAATCACTAATAGGGTTATTCACAAAAGGGTGAAGAGTATGGAGAAGGCAGGAGAAGTGAACAAGCTAGGCCAAAATAGCTGATTTGGAAACATTCTCCAGTTCAGCTCACTTTCCAGTTCAGCTAGTTTGGATTACATTTTTCACTTCTCCTGCCTTCTCCAAACTCTTCACCCTTTTGTGAATAACCCTGTAAGTTTCTTTTTAATAAGCTCTCCCTACTAAATATTTGCAAACCATCAAAGTTAACTTTGATGGGTTGCAAATAGGAGTTGTCCACAGAAGTCTTACAAAATCTGGTCAGTGTGGATGACATCACCCTCCACATCTGAATAAGCCTTTTATGCTATACACAGCACTCTTTCTCTCTCCATCCAACTTTCCGAGGGTCGCAATGTTGGGTAATTATTGCTCCATTTTATCGGTTGTGTCATGGCAACTCACACAATATAATTCACACCAATAAGAGTGCCAGGAGAAAACGTTTATTGCAAATTCAGATTTGAGATACATATGTTTTTCGTTTAGTTAATACCGACCAAGATTGTGCCAGCAATTACATGTCCTGTAATGGATAAGAAATACATGTTGTACACCTTAAATACTGTAGATGTATACATTATATGTGTACCTTTGTATGAGAAATTGAATATGAATAAAAAAGATAATATCTGTCCAGTTGCTGTAGTGTAAAAACACATCATTGCTGTATACACCATGGTAGTAAATACTTAATGTGTAGCTATACTTTATTTACAGTCATTGTCATCAGTGTCAGCATCCTTTGTAGAGGTACCCTGTGATTGTGTATTTTAGAGTGTGTAAAACAAGTGACCACACCAAATAATTGCACCACTCCATACTTTGGCTGAATAACTGCAAAAATGTAAACAAAAAAGAAAACAATTTGTAAACCAAAAATTGTCCACCCAAAAAACAATTTTAAATGTCAGTCTAGAACAGTGGTTCTCAACCTGAGTAACCTCAGGACCCACATTTGTCCTTGGTCATTAAGTTGCGACCCAAGTCGCACTGCACTGGAACGCACAGTATTGGGGTACCGCGTATTCCGGTGCGGGTGATTGAACTGTATCTCCCACACCAGAACTCATACTAGGTCCAATTGTGTGGTACAATGCATTAATCGCACAGGGCTGTTCACTGCACATTGTACTAGTGTGAACGGGCCCTCAAAAACCCTGACAGACACACACAACCACAGACACAATCTCACACACTCACACTCCAAAAAAATATTACATTTTTTTTTTTTTTAACGATCCATCCAGTCTCCCTACCTTGCAAGAACTGAAGTGGATCCTCAGCTTGGGGTCCAGTGTGGGCTGCTGTGCTGTGATGGAGCTCCATCCATATGTGCATTGCTGGTACAACTCCCTTGTGTGCCCTGTACAGGTCCCGGGAGCCAGAATGTGACATAATTCCAGTCCAGGCACCTCTAAAGGACATGCAAGGAAGCTGTACGCAATGCATGTATGGATGGAGCTCCCTCGTGGCCATAGCCCCAGACCACCTGACCCCACCTCAAGCTGACACTCAGCGCTAGGCAGCATATTTTAAATAGCTACTTGGCATGAGAACTGACAGTGCTGCACTAGGGGGTGGCTGAGGAGCCTCTCACAGAGAAAAGAGAAAGGCAGGTGTCGACCCACTGAACATGGGGTCGCGACCCACTTTTGGGTCACGACCCACCAGTTGAGAACCAAGGGTCTAGAATATATTATGTAATATAGTCATATTACAAGAATGTGTAAATTAATGAACACTGTGAGCTCACCCCAATTAGCTCCCTGTATTATACTTCCCATTAGTGTATAATCGGTGTGCTTTTGTACAATTTGAAACAAAATAATATTCTTTGAAAACCTAGATTTGACGAAGACCCAGTGGGTACAAAGTAAGTCTTACCTGTAAAATCCTTTTCTTTGAGTACATTACACGACAGAGACTCTTATGTCTTAGACCTTTAGTTTATGCAGCTGTCTTAAGGTGACTGGCCACTGGGAAACAAAACTGTAAGCCTTCGTTCACACCTGAACGTTTTGTAGCGCGTTCTACGCTCGACGAACACTCACCAAAACGCTCAAAAATATAAATCCCATTGTATTCAATGGTCTCGTTCCCACCTTGGCGTATTTCCGGCCGTCCCTAACGTGCTACAAAACGGCCCACGCCTGAAAAGGTACATGTACTACTTTGGGCCGTTTTGTTGTGCATTTCCATTGGGATACAGACAAGTAGCCTTCGGAAACACACGTTTGTCGCGTGACTTTTTTTACCGCGAATCGCGGTAAAAAAACGTGCGACAGACGCGCATATGCAATACGCCTAGGTGTGAACGAGATCGAAGGACAGCCCTAAAGTGGTCTTTGGAAAAAAAAAATGGCTTGGGCAGATACCTGACACTGAAGGGTACTCAAAAGGCCAAACAAGAAAAGTCCTTTAGTCCTATCTTTTGTTTATTGAATTTGACTGTTCAGTATTCTCTTTTTATTCCCTTTTATTTTACTGTTATATATTTTGTCTCTCAATATCTTTTTCCGTATATTTTTCTGCACCGTTTCTTTTTATTAAAGGACGATCTTAAAAATCATTAAGCTTATCTCAATACTCTAAATAAGAACTCAAAGTATCCTGGCCTCTGTGAAGAGCGCTACTGTATAGTGAAACCTGTCATATTCCTGTCTGAGAGGAAGGGGTATCATAGGCTTTAAGTGTTTTGAATTGTCACAGCATTTGCTGTGATAGGTGCGTGCTTTCATTAAAAGCATGTGGTGGCAGCTAAGGTTTGGTGTGTAATGGGTTAACTGCGGAGTTAACCAACCTTAGTGACGATCGCTCTCGGTCTGCTGGCCTGAGATTGTTGTTCCGCAAGCTGGGAAATCTCTATGCAGGATGAGGCTGAGAGGGGTATTACCACGTCCTTGTAAAGGCTCGCTCGGTTCAGAACTGCGTATAGTCACGTGTGATTGGTGTACAGTGAGTTCGGACCGGGGCTTACATCACAAGGAAGACCCTGCACAGAGCAGTATGCAAGGCAGGGCCCAGATACTCCACACAATGTGTCAGATCCAGCAGATTTCTAAAGATTTAGGATCTATCGAAATGTCCACACTGTCTGTCTGACATTGGCAGATAGAACCTTAGCCGACTGTTCCCTTAGCAGGAGATTGTCCAGAGATCCCACAACGGGGATGCCCTAAGAGTAAAGCAGGGTGGGGTCAGCGCCTTGAAGATCCGATGTCCTGTGGACGGGCCAAAGGGAAGAGCAACAAATTAGTAATGTTGTGTGCCCACAGCAAAATGCTGGTATCATTAATGTGCTGGAAGGATGGGGGATGTGCAAGTAGGCATCCTTGATGCCCACAGATGCCATCCCGAATAAAGGAAGGTAATGACTGACCTAGCAGATTCCATATGGAATTTCTGAAACCAAACAAATTTGCTGAGAATGAGAATGTGTAGATCCAGTATAGGGTGGATTATTCCTTTCACCCTGGAGACTGTAAATAGGTTGGAGTAGAGTCCCTGGGACCTTTTTCCTTCTGGAACAAAAGTTATGACCTCTTGAGAGAGGAATTGTTTAAGAGTAGTGTGAAGATCTGCCCGCCTTTGTGGAGAAGCTGGCAAGTTTGAAAGCATGAAAGGGGTGTTGGCAGAGATCTAAACAGCAAGAGCTTGTAGCTCCTGGATATCACATTCTGGATACAAGCATCTGAAATGTCCTGAGATCAGACGGCTATGAAGGCTGGCCGATGTCCTTCTACTTTGGGTAAAGCTCTCAGCTTGAGTCCCAGTGGCTAGAGAAAAAAGGGTGTCAAATTTAAAAAGTCACACAGCCAACCTGCTCCTGCCGTTGGCTGTGAGTGAATGTCGCTCTGCAATTGAACACCTTATAGACCGATTCAGCTAGGGCAGAGCCGTAACTTACTAACTGATACCAGAGCTTTCACCCAGTGCAGTCTAGAAAGTTAAGGGAACCAAGCTCCACCCAGATATTTGCACTCCTGGTGGGCATACCCCCAAAAAGGGTCTTCAGGGATAGGAAATCACTGGCAGTTACCCTGTGGCTAACTTACCATATTGCACTATATGCCTAGGTGAGCTCCTTTGTACAGGATCCAAAGCAAAATTTCATTCTGGCCCACATGTCTGGGTACAGTCCCCCAAAGCAGAGTCCACCATTCCTGAATCTGCAGAGGATGTTGTAGTGGCTATGGAGCAGCAAAGAATGTTTCTTGCTCTAAGAAACATCTTGAGAAAAAATCCAAAGGGAAACAAAAATAAAAATATTTGCTCTTCACCTAAAGACAATATAACTGAGGCTTGCTTGGAGTCGGAGGGTTTTTTAGGGCTGTGTTTAAAGCTTTGTTTACAAATGTCCAATCACCTGAAGGCAGTTGCATAGCCCAATAGTCTAAGACTTAAAGAGTCTGTGTCATGTAATGAATAATTGAGAAAATGTGCTATCTGAACAGGAATGTGTTAAACACTGATTTTGGAATGATTTTAACCTAATGTAATTAAAGTATGTTTTTACATTTATTCTGGATATGCAGATTGTTTCCAAAGAAAATTATATGTGTAAGAATGAATGTGTAACTCAAATAAAGCTAGACTGCCTTATAGTTCATCTTCATGAACAGCTTTCATCAATTCACATTCTTCCTTAACACGGCAGTCATTGAGCAGATGACTGTACTCTTTTTTGAGATCATCAAAAAGACACACAGACTCCTTTGAGTGTGGGAAAGGAAGGAGGTTTTCATTCAGTAACATCTGTACTTGATGCTCTTCTTTAGGACTCTCCACCAAGTCGCAGTGATACAGAACAAACACTAGGTTTGAAGCGTAAGGCACAATTCTGCCGCTGCGAAACTTCTGTTCACTTTGACTAGAAAAGCTGTCTGCAGTAAGAGGCTTCTCATCCTTAAAGAGGCCCATCAGAGCCAAAAGTGGCAGGAGAGTCTCTGCATGCCCAAACTGCATGACCACAGGATTGGAGATTTGCTGGGACCTATAAGATACAAACATAACATTATGATATACAGTTTATAATACATTCCTCAGCAGACTTTAACTCCCGAATGCACACAAGAATACATTGATGCAGTATGTAAGATATACTAAAATTTGGTGATGGAATGGTGCATGTACTCCTGACTGCACAGCTCAAAGCTGCTGCACTGCACTCCAAAATTCAAAGTGCTCAAGCACCCCATGTCATTAAGCATACACTAGTTTTAGTAGTTACTTAGAAATGAAATATTTGCTACATCACTTCTGGGAAGTTTGTGTAATAAAAGAGTCAAAAGCTCTAATACGGTGACATCTGAAACGCAAACGAAGAAAAATCCACATTTGAAAGCTAAATTCAATTTTAATATTCAAAACTCAAAAACAATATCTCAAAACACAATATATTGAGCATATAAATCTTCATTTATTTTAGGAGAGACTATTCTGCATCAAGCCAAGAATAATGCACGTATGGACAAGGCCTCAACAGACTATATTTACCTTCATTTGGAATTTATTAGCAATGTTCACACGATTCAAACAATGTTATATGATAGTAGATTTCTAAAATAAATTAAAGTTGAAATCTTCACCTGCCTGTTTCCAGCTATGGGATATTGCACTTAGCGGCTGTCTTCTGGTGCTCTGAGAGGATGCAGTGAGTGGATTTTGTGAGTTGCTAGTCTGAAAAGCTGTGTTGCTCGTCTGCTTCCCTCTACTCTCTACACCATTTACAAAGTGTGTATTACCATCATCTCACAATGCATCAAGTTCTGTGAATGGAGGAGCACTTGAATAACAGAATCTACACTCCATTCATAGAACTCAGTGCAAATTTTTCTAATAGCAACTCAGACTAGACTCACTGCAGGCTCTCACAGTGCCAGAAGACACTAAGTGTGATATACAGTGGTTGTAAAGCAGGCAGTGGGTTGAAGATTTTAGAAGAAACAGTAGCTGGAGGCAATAGGATACACACCATTACACATATCTAATGCTTTTGGTCCTGTATCCTCCCCCAAAAAATAAACTACAGCTTTAACAACCATGTTTAAAAAACCTAAATCAGCTTTATAGATATACACTTTATGGCCAGTTTGTAGACACCTAACCATCACACATATCTGAGCTTGTTGGACATTCTAAAGGCATTGATATAGAGTCTGTCCCAATTTGAGGCCTTCACTCTACAAGAAATTGAAGTGTCTGTGGGAAAGTGTGCCCATCTAGCCCAAAAAACATTTGTGAAATCAGGTCCTGATGTTGGACGAGAAGACCTGATTCACAATAGTGTCAATTCCTAAAGGAAACCAGTGCTGCGAGAAATAAAGAGGCTTCCATTGTCGATCTCTTTCTAAAATACTTTCTCACTTCAAGGACACCACGTAGATATCTCCTTCACAGAAATTGGTATTTACCTTAATTTATTATGCTTGTTCAGACTATGAAAGAATACACTGTGCTCAATGGGAAACGCCCAAATGCTGCTGAAAGCCACATTGTCTTTAGATGCCAATGTACGGTTAGAATATTCCATGAGCTTTAACACATAACTACAAGGAAAATCTTAATCACCTTGGGGCACACAGATTTATTTAAAAGCCTATACAGACTTAGCGGTACAAGACTGGTAAGAAAAACTACTGAAACAGTGGATTATCTCATTCTTTGGTTTATAATAGCAAATATGCCAGCACCACACATTAATGCTACTTACAAAATGACAGCATCTCATTATTCCCCTTCAGGTATTTATAATGACATTATTTGCAATCAGAGAGATTACAGGCAGGGTGTACGGAATGACTATATAAACTATATGAACAGTTAAAAAAATCACTTTCTATTATAATCTTTGTTATCCACGAGATAACAAATCACATGAGCATTGTATATGTTTCTTGGTATGCTAACAGATACTGATTATTGGACTAATTACATTAATAAATGACGTGTAATAAAATGTACTGCCTGGCTTGCTATCACCCACATGAACTTGCTGACATCCTATTAGTATTGATTATGTAATGACATGGCTTTCTATTTAACTGTTGAAATCAGTGAGTATAACAGATTCACTTTTTACCAACTTTCTTCTACAAGAGAAGGACAGAGTATCCGACCACCTAAAAAGTTTGGCGTCTGGACTCATCACTTTCATTAACTCATGCTGGCTGATGGTACAAAGAGTGCAAAAGGGAGCTTTATTGAAATGGCATAAGTGACATTTCATTAAGTTATATGGGCACAGCACAATGTGATATAGTTATAACGTGTCTCGGCTGACTTCACTGAAAAAAAACAATAACATCCATCAGCATGCCCCTTTACATCAGTTTTCTCCATCAGTGTGCCCCCTTACATTGTTTGTCCCCATCAGAGTGCCCCCTTACATTATTTGTCCCCATCAGAGTGCCCCTTACATTAATTGTCCCCATCAGAGAGCCCCTTACATTAATTGTCCCCATCAGAGTGCCCCCTTACATTATTTGTCACCATCAGAGTGCCCCCTTACATTATTTGTCCCCATCAAAGTGCCCCCTTACATTATTTGTCCCCATCAAAGTGCTCTGGTGGAGTCCTGCTAAATTCAACCAATGTGTGGCTCCAACAAGATCCTCCCGTACAAGGAAAAAAAATATTTCAATTGACTTTTGTTAAAGGAGCTGGTCAAAAAAATCTTGGCCTAACGTGGCATCAGCCAATCAGATGCAGTCACTGCTTAGGTATTCTGACAGCAGCATACCCTCCACTGTCATAATACAATAGCCCACAGTAGGGGGGATTCCCCCATCCATACTCTCAGCATAGATGTGGGAACTGATAGAGTTTTCTCGTTCAGTCCAAGGGGCCGAACGAGAAATAATTCATAATGATGGCCAGCCTAAGTCATCCCTTCTGTGTAAAGATCTTGTTTACCTACTCAAACGGTCTCCCAATAGTTTCAAATCCCATCAGTGGGACAAACCTGGGGAGTGGAAAACTTGGATTGTTGCCCAACAAACGTTGCACCGCAACCTTCAGGAAAAGAGTTTCAAACACTCAACAGATTCAGAGTGGGAGTTTTCATCTCCATGTCCTTCTAACCCACTACTGCAGCTCTTTCTACTTGTTGTGTCAGACCATTAAGGTCTATTAGAAACCTCCAACACTGAGACAAAACATGGTGCTCAAGGACAGGGCAAAGAAATATTCAATGAAGGACGATTATAAAGAGGATAAGCAGGGCAGCTCATCGAAATGCCCCCTCAACTTTATGTAAAAGGGTCAAGGTGCACATATGATGTGAAATCATTCTATAAGTACTAATAAAATCTAACAAATATAAAATTGCAGCACAAAGAGCAATGACACGCAGCAGGCTGTAAAAACTGGTCAGCTTTCAACTTTGATTGGTCTAAAGCAGTTACAATAATGAAAAGCGGCTACTATGGTTACTGGGATGATTCAAGTACATTTATTGTGCACTTATTTATTTCTGTTATTATTACATTGTAATATATAATGAAATAAGTATACAACTAACCATAATGCAGAATCAGTGGGAGCCCTGAGCTTGTTTTCCTGCTCTCAGGTGGCCAGTGCAGGCTCTCAGGTGGTCAGTGCAGCTCTCATTAGGGGTGCGGAGAGTCTCACTAGTCGCTATTGATGCAGCAGATGCGACTCTCTCATCAGGCGGCTGCTCGCTCCTTACAAGGGCCTGAGATGCCACAGCAAGCGGCCTTCTAATAGACCTCATTAGAGGGCCGCCTCTGCCTAATTGTAGCCGCCGGGATTGCCATCGGGCATACCGAGGCAAACCAGGCCAGCCGGGAGTATTTGCAGGGGTGGGCTTGGAAAGGGAGCTCCATGCGCCCCTATGTTAATCCAGCCGTGGCCAAGGACTGGCGGCTGCGGCCCCGTCGCAGGCAGGCCACGGACCGTTACTGGTCCACTGCCTGGGGGTTTGAAGACTACTGATATAATGTGTATGTCACTTCCAGAAACACTGGCATTTCATTAATATTTTAATTGACGACGTATAGCATGGCTCTGGTTATATTTCAAGCACTCCGACTACGAGAACTGTGGTTCTCATACACAGAAGCCATAATGTCACTTATCCGCCTACTTCTCCCCTTTGCTCATTCACAGAATGCCTTGTATTTTGTGGATGGTTGACAGAACACAAAGCATTTTGTGAATGGGAAAGGGGAGGTGGGGGCAGAAAATGAAATGAGGGCTTCTGTGTATGAGAGCCACAGCAGGCCAGAAGTAAAGTGTGAGCTATACTATCCAACAGCAATGTAAAACTGTACATTTTAAAGAAACAATAGAGATACTAAAAGGTGACATTAACCTCATGAGAGTAAACTATATGTTACGCAACACTTTGTAATAAATAACTTTTGCCTGCAGTTCATCTTGAAAGACACATTAAAAGTGGAACTTGCACTATAAATATACTTACCTCCGGCTTCTGCTACTGATGCCTAAGTTAGATTGACCTTACACTCCTCCAGGGAAATCCCATGGAAAACTGAGTAGCCTAAATCTCGTGGGAGGAGCTGTGCTGGAACTGTCATCTAGTAAATTTGGGCTAGTCAACCTTCTGCCGAGATCTCCTCACTAGATGATTGACACCCCCGCAGTATGGAAACTGGGGGTAAGGCAAATATATTTCCTAACTTTTGCTAAAAATGTTTTTTTTTTTAATCATTTACAGTATTTAGGCATTGTGGGAGGCCAAAGTAAATAAGCAGACCGTGCTTGTAGTGCAATGTCTACCGTAACATTATGATGTACTTACAATCATATGGCATCATTCAGAGGAGGTAGAAAATAGAAAACCATTACAAAAAAAAACCTTTAAGTCCATTAAAAGGTGTTGCGTTATGAGTAAGTAAACATACTAAATTGTTTTTTTAGTACATCTGTACACAATTATTCCAAACACCTATAACTGGAAAAAACTTATTAGTATGATTAGATAAAGTCTGCACTGGAAATTACAGCATG